TTATTTTCTACAATTTAACTTAAAAAAACTATTAAAATGATACAACGTTTAATTAAACTGCGCCGCACTATACTGCGTTTTTGTTACTTGTGCTTTTATTATATTCGGTGATCAATAAAGAGATAATTATTATTCTTTTTATTTAATGTCATAAATATATTAGTTACATTTTTAAATATTTATATTTCAATTCATAAAAAATACACATTTATGAATATAGAACATAGTAGCCCACCGACAACGAGAGCCTTCTGTCGAGATGTCGAGAACTGCCTTTTACATCAGACCCTTGATCTAACGTGAGCCTCTTACGTTACTTAATATCCTAAGACCTCGAGATTGGGCAGAGGGCGTCCATAGTAGTCCTCCATCGCGTTCGGTCCCGAGCCTCCAAGACATGGAGTGAGGTCAAGTACCTCACTCCGCGTCTTGCCGATTCTCTTCACCTCATCTGCGACAGTGCGCGGGCAAGTTTGCTTTGAGCGGCCGCGCTTTCGTTTTCCTTGCGGGTTCCAATCCAGTGCCTGTTTCGTGATATGCTCGGGGTCCCTACGCAGAGTGTGGCCAATCCGGAGTTCGATCGGTGATTCGTGGCAGGGTTCCAACATATCTTCATTGGAGATTTTGTTGGGCCAATATACCCCAAGAATTCGGCAAAGGCAGCGGTTAACAAAGACCTGGAGCTGGTTCGAGATGGCTTTTGTGACCTTCCACGTTTCGCACCCATTTAGCAGTACCGATCTTACGTTGGACCCGAATAATTTGATTTTATTCCTCCGAGTCAGTTTTTTGACTGCCACACGGGTCGGAGTTGAGCGAAGGCAGCTCGGGCCTTGGTAATGCGTGAAGTGATGTCCTCCTCTGGAAGGGAGAAAAAAAAAAAAAAAAAAAAGGAGATCGTGCGGTACCCCCTTATGATCCTGATGACCAGCACTCGCTGCGGTCGTCGCAGTATCGCGACGTTGCTGGCCTTCAGGGCCCCCGCCCATACTGGGCACCCGTAAAGGGCCATGGACCGCACAACCCCCGAGTAGAGTCTCCTGCAGGGGTCATCGGGTCCCTTCATGTTGGGCAGCAGCCGCGCCAACGCACGCGCTGCCCCAACCAACTTGGGGACCAGACCTCGGAAATGATATCCGAAGTCCCATCGGCCATCGAGTACGAGCCCCAGATACCTGATCGAGGGCTCGATGCCGATGCGAGTGCCTCCTACCGTGAGGCTAGATCCCTCAGGCGGCTTCCTCCGAAGCCCGTGGAAGAACAGGGCCTCGGACTTGTGCAGAGCCACCTCGAGACCCAGCCGCCGGATACGCTCAACGACTTGGGCAACCCCGGCCGTGGCCCTCAGGGTTGCCTCGTGGTGCGTCTTGCCGCGCGCCGTCACGAGTGTGTCGTCCGCGTAGCACACGACGGCGACACCATCCAGGAAGGCACCACGAAGCACCCAGTCGTAGCCGATGTTCCACAAGAGTGGCCCTAACACCGACCCCTGCGGAACACCGCACGACATTTCACGCCTACCGAGACCGGTCCTACTGGGGTAGACGACGGCTCTCTCCGACAAATATGCCCCGACTATGCGGCGGAGGTAGAGAGGCACTTCGTGATACACGAGCGCCTCCCTGATGCAGCTCCAGGGCATAGTGTTGAACGCGTTGGCGATGTCCAAGGACACCGCCAACACCACTTCGCCCCGGGAGACTGCTTCCTCCGCCAGAGCCTTCACGCGCATGATCGCATCCACGGTGGAGCGCCCCTGACGGAAACCATACTGGTTGTCCGCCAGATCCGGCCCAACCATCACGAGATGCTTGCAATCGCAATCACTCTTTCAAAGAGCTTGCACACCTCGTCAAGCAACACTATGGGCCGGTAGGCGGACGGTGAGTCCGCCGGGCGCCCCTCCTTTCGGATGAGGACCAGTTTCCCCGTCCTCCACAATTTCGGAAACTGGCCCCGCTCCTCTGTACCCCCTGTTACCGACACGATGCTTCCGAGGTAGGAAAAATTGTATAAGTATCAAAATATATAAGCCAGGCAGTGGTGTTATATACCCCAATTATTTATGTAATATAATAACAATTATATTTATAAATAAAGAAGATACTGACAGATATATGATAACCTCAAATGCCACGGATTCTCGTGCCAAGTGAGTACGTAAATCGTTCCAGCAGATAATAACTTGTACTTACGTAAATTGGTTTCCTCATTACCACCAGTTCAGTGAAGTGTCTCTGTGCAAGTTTTGTCACTAAATAGACGTCTTATTTTTTTATTTATGTGTTTTGTGTTCTAAATGTGTTCTTTTAAGCTTTAAGAGACCTTTTTGAAGTGTTTCGTTACTTGATCAACGTGTTGATTGAATCGCATCCAAAATAGTCACGGGTAACAAAACATTTTGTGTGTGTTACTAATATTATCGACTTAAGATCAATAATTTTCTATATTTATTATGGCTCGTGTAGTTTCGGTATATCTGTTAAGAAAATAAGGTAGGGTAGGTAAATTAGGTAATTATTTTATTAGGAAATTATTTGCAAGCTCAGTTATCAAACTGGGTGAGATGTTTACTTTTAAATAGGTACTATGAGTGCCAGCTTCTTGCCAAATTTCACAATGCTCTTCAACGTCAAGTACTCTGTAGGTTTTGATTTTATATAACCGTAAAGTGTTAAAATTCGTTCAAATATATGCGTAATTATGATGTTATATCATATATACAGTGCTTACTAGTTCGTTATTAACAGACGTTAAAAAGGTGGGAACGATACAAGATGAAGTAAAATACTGGCGTTTTGGTAATAAATCTCCTAGAACGTTGATATATCTACACTGTCTAAACTGTGAAAGAGTTAAAAAATAGTGTCCAGCTTTTGGCCACTAAGTCCCGTTGTTAGGGTGTGTCAGCTGTATTGTAATTGTAACTACAAACAAACGCTCAATTCCCACGCACACCAGCACAATAAAATTGACCTGTTTGTTTTATAGCGCGTCACTATATTGACATATAAATGACCTAAGCATAACTAAGTATAACATATGCACTAAGTTTGGAAAATAACTTCATTTGTTTATACCGAGAGTTAACTAAATTCTGCAACGATATTTGATCACGCAACTTAAATTTTAGCTGCAAAGTAATAGGGTTCATATTTCTACAAACGTTTATCATTAAATGACTTAAGTCCTTTTTATATAATAAGTATGTTTCTCACTTCGTGTTCAGATGCTCAACGTAAACAATGTATAATTAGGTGTACATAATATTGTTGATCAAACGTCAAGAAAGCGAATCTTGTTTTGATAACGTCAACTGGAGAACGCTTTACACATTGAGATGACAGTAGTGTTGTTAAAAAAGCAAAGAATGGCAGACTTGACCGAGAACAAAGAAATCCCAAGGTAGTGTTATTAAAACTATTTATTTACCTATCATATGGGCCAAATTTTTGTATGTTTGATTGAGCCTTTAAAATATTGTTAAGTGGTAGAATCCTCTCATTTGTGTAACTTTTTTTATATTGATTTGCAAGTTACCTACTCTTTAAATTGTTTTTGTTATAGAATAAAGACCTATGTTATTATTATAATAGACAAATATACTATAAAATATATAAATTATTTATACTTATACACAAACAAAAGAACCCAGTATTTCTGTACATAAAAAATAATAATGAATTCAGATTATCTGTACGATTTCGTGTTTGTGAAACTACCGAATTTTATTTCATTTTTAAGAACACAAACAATGTATATTAACGCATATTAATGTAATTTTTAAAAGTGGCCAAAGCATAATAAATACTGATTAATATTAGAACTACGATGTTAAACAGTGCGAATACCAATTGAAGGCTTAGCTGGTTTGTTTTAAAGCGTTTTATTTCTTAATCATAAACTACTACATAAAAAATAAATACGTAGTGTAAGAAATTAAGTCAGTGTGGTGACGGATTAGGAATATAGTGTGTCACCACCCCTATTTATCCCATAGGTGTCTTAAGAGCCGACTAAGGGGGCAAAACTCTGCAAGGACAACATCAACGCAAAAAGAAGGAAAACTTGAAACAAACCGTCTGGACAGCGTGGTATAGTAGGCCAAAACTTCTTTCTAAGGAGAGGCCTATGTCCAACAGTGGATTATTAGAGGCAGTTGATGTGATCATGTGACTACATAGTGGACCTAGGGACATAGTATCAAGCTAGTCTTTCGGTCTAAGTGTAGAGAATTCAAGTTCCTGAACTGGGGACATAATTTTTTTATTCTTAAAAAAGACAACTTCCGCATTGGGAATATATCCTGTGTCGCAGGGGACTTTACAAACATACATGAAACGGACACAAAGAACACCCAGACTCACAACAACTATTTGTGGATTACAAAAAGTGTCGTTCTATGTGGGGATCGAACCCACAACACTCAGCGTAGTAGTAAGTGGCGTGGCGACCGCTTAAACCACTACGCCATCCGTGCATTGATTGAATGCTGATTGTCACTTACAACCTTAATGTTCTCCTCCTCCTAAACAGAAGAGCCTTAACTACTCCTCTAAGGGGTAGATTTAAAACTATTTTACTTAACTGTCTGAGTCTTTCGATATTTGTGAAGTAAGATGGGTCATAGTGTACTCCTGAAATATCATGATGTCTATACAGAAAATATTTTTCTTCTCTTTGGATTCTTGAATCTTTGAATGTTATTACAGATTTTAATCAATTCGTGTTGGAAGAAAATCACAACAATGTATATATAAATATAACTAGCTGACCCGGCAAACGTTGTATTGCAAAACAAAAAAAAAATCGGGATGGGTCACCCTTACCATTTAGGGGTATGAAAAATAGATGGTGGCCGATTCTCAGACCTACCCGATGTGCACACAAAATTTCATGAGAATCGGTCAAGCCGTTTCGGAGGAGTACGGGAACGAACATTGTGACACGAGAATTTTCATATATAAGATTACCATTCAAACTAGTTTTGTTCTTTCTAGAACTCCCTTGCGGTCTCCATGTCGCAAGTCTGCTGCTCCTCGAAGATTGGGCCGGTCGGAGTTCAGCATGGACGATGATGAATACTCACCTAGCAACTCTGTCACTTCCGTCAACTCTCTCGCCAGTCTGCTTAGAGAAAAACTGCAGGTATTATAAGATAAAAGAGATGTTTTATAATATTATTTTCAGTTTCCAATTTCCCGGGGAAACTAGGCCTGTATGATTATATTGATTAAGTTTATTTTGTGAGAATAAAGCGTCTCTTATCCAAGTTTTATTAAGTCAAAGTTGTTAGGTTGTTTTTGAATCGCGCTATGGTTTTGTTCCATGCAAAGCAAAGTAATTTTTGTCGAACCCTTGGAACCTTTACTGTTAGTTGATTATAAACAGTTACATAAGTGATTCGATGTTTTTTTGGTAGGTAAAGACTACAATCTATACAAATATATATCTATAAAAATAAATAAAGCAAAAGTGTCTGTTTATAATGTTAAAATAATAGTTTTTTTTCATGCTCCCGCGGTTATTTGTACGATACCTATGCCTAAAAACCAGTTTAAATATTTTTGTCTGACTGCCTGTTTATTCCGGATAATCTTTTAAACGGGTGGACTGATTTTAGCAATATTTTACTGGCTATCTAAGGAGTATCTTGGGCTTTTTTTTCTCTCAGAAAAACCCTATAAAATTGTGCCCAGTCCGGGAATTGAACCCACTAATTCAGCGCTTTTCAAATTCCACGCAAACGAACGGGCACCAGCTGTTACTATACTACAGACCAGAGTGTCACAGTCAAATGTAGTTATTTCGGCTCTGAATGGACTAAATCGCGTAATGTATCAGACATCAGCCTTACACCCCTCACTGCTTTTAACCGACTTCAAAAAAGTAGAAAATTCTTAATGTTCTTGTATTTTTAATGAATCTTATCAGAGTTCCGTTATTTATGAATACATAATTCCCGATTGAACGCATTTAAATTTAAATTTAAAGATAAAATATAATCCCTACGGTTGGAAAGTGAAGTGGAAACACAGTTTATTAAAATTTATGATAATGGAACAGTAGCAGCATATCGTATCCAGATCAGAGCTTCATACGGAGCGTTCCTCCGTTTCTTCTATGAAAATGAAATGTAGCAAAAATATTGCTCTTAATAATTTACCGTGGGAGAGCCATGATTCGGCACGAATGGAGTGATACCACGGCCTCACAGAAAACTGGTGTTAAACAATTCTTTGGTTGCTTTTCACTGAGTGAGTGTGGTTACCGGAGCCCAAATCGCCCCTGCCGATGACTCGAGCGGGAGGGACTATAAGGGCAGCATCGCACTATTGACTTTTGAGTTGCAGGTGTCCATGGGCGGTGGTAGTTGCTTACCATAAGGTGACCCGTCTGCTGGTTTGCCCTTTTATACCATAAAAAAAAACCGCCTATAATATGCTACCCAGCATACAACGTGATGAGTTAAACACAGTATACATCCATACTATACTGATATTATAAATGCGAAAGTGTGTCTATCTGTTACCTCTTCACGCCTAAACTGCTAGACCGATTTAGATGAAACTTGGTATAGAGATAGTTTGAGTTTCGGGAAAGGACATATTGTAGTTTTTATACCAGAAAGCATCCTTTAAGGGGATAAAAAGGGGGGTGGAAATTTGTATGGGGAATTAATAACCGCTGAACCAAGTTAGATGAAATTTGGTATGCAGATAATTTAGGTTGTAGGGAAAACATAGGCTACTTTTACCGTGAACCGACATACACGCGGGCGAAGCCGCGGACAAAATCTAGTTATTTATTTATAACCTTTCCATTCTTATAAAATATTATTTTCACTTTGACGTAGTGGTCTGTGTAACGGACTGCTAATCCAAAGGTTGCGGGTTCAATCAAGTCAAACATTTGTGTGCATGAACATGTATGATTTAGTCTGGGTGTTTCTATGCATAATATTTATTTATTATTTATTTATTTTCTTTAAAAACAACTATTTAATAAATTATTAAATAGTTATTAGTTATTATTCTATTAGTTAGTTATTATTCTATTTATTTAATATGTATGTATTTACAAAAAAAAAGTATGTATGTATTTATATCAGTTGTCTATTAGCCATAGTACAAGTTCGGCTTAGTTTGGGACTAGATAGCGTTGTGTGAATGTGGTAGAATATTATTATTATATGATCTTGCCCTATATTTTTACACAAAATCATTAACAGTATACTTCCATCAATTTCAGAGCATCCCCCAGAAGATCCGCAAGAAACCCACAGACTACAAACTTCGTGCCTTCGTAGCGCTGATGTTCTTAGCAGTGGTGTTCTTCGTTTCCTTTGCATATGTATTGTATCATCAGCAAGCCTTAACCAAAGCTTACTTCAACAACGTACAATTTAATGAGCCGAAGAGATTGATCAGGATATTCAATAAGGACGATGTGGAGATTTTGAGAGCTAGTCTAGGTAGGTAACTAATTCTGCATTTATCCATCTATGGTATAAGATATTGGTCAGTTGATGTCTTGTCTGAGTGGTGTCTTCAATCATAAGACTAAAATACTCCTTCCTCCCCGTTTCTTTGAGCTATTATAGCCTTAGTCCCGTTTCTCAATCCGAGGTTTTCCTCATCCTTGTTGTATACTATACTTTATCTGATTTTTATATCCTTCTTTAGTCCCGTCTGGAATACATATTCTAGTAAGATAGGTATTAGACATGTCTGGCGTCAAAAGAAATCCTTTGCAATGTTATACATTGCGCCGACTCCAAATAAAATTGGTGGAGAAGGACAGCAAAATTATAAAAATTAATCTTTAACAATTGAATGATGATTAAGTTTGTCTTCAGACTCCACGGATGGCGTAGTGGTTTAAGCGGTCGCCACGCCGCTTGCTACATCGCCGAGTGTTCAAACCCCACATGGGACGACACTTTGTGTGATCCACAAACTGTTTTACTGAGTCTGGGTGTTCTTTGTGTCCGTTTCATGTATGTTTGTAAAGTCCCCAGCGACGCAGGATATAATCCTAATGCGGGCGTTGTATTTTTGTTTAAAAGAAAAAAAAAATACTGACAGAGGTTTTGTTGACTCTATGTTCACTGCTATGTATTCAAAGCCCTTAGTATAATCTTAAATCGCTTATATTTTTCTCAAGAATGACTCAAGAAGGTAGTTAAAAAGAGCTTTGTTATTATAAATTTACGTGATGCAAAAGGTTGTGTGTCAAAAAAGTGACGAAGAAACACCCGTGCATTTCATTAATAAAATTATAAACTTTTCCGATTAAAGGTGATGGTACACTCATAACATCATATTTTGTTCACAGCTGTTAATCTTCGTGGCAAAGTCAAAGCGTATCCCTGTCTGCCAGAGCATCGACGTAACGACGGCTCTGAGTGTCTCGAATGGCTCCACACTCTGCGGTTCTATCTGAAATCCTTAGCACACGACCCTGGCGCGGACAACACAACTTGTTACTCTGTCCATTGGCAGGCTTTAAGAGAAGGTATTGTTGTATTTTGGTAAACATTTACCCATAAATTAAGATAAAGACCATGGTCTAAGATTTTTTTGCTAAAAAAAGCTTGCCTCAAATGATATAATTACTTGTTTCCAATTTAAGATTATCTCCTCGCTACCATATCCTTGCTATATTAACTAAGACCCTCATTCAATATTGCCAGATGTATATCCGAATGACTGCTTTGACTGGACCAACACTAAAGTCAACTGGTATGGTGGCGGCCAATCTCTCAACGTCTCTTGGCCGATCAATGGTGGATACATGGATTATACACCCTTCATCACCGGTGATGTCCAAAAAGGCCAATGGTCCAACGCTTTGACTCGATACTTCATCAACTCCAAAGGTGCCGCGATCATCATTGATGACGACACTCCACTTCACGTCTCTGTCAATAAAGGAGCTAAAGAAATTTGTATTAAAGCTATGTATCACGAATTTGCATATCCGAATAAGCTTACCGAGTTTCCAGAAATGAAATACAACATTTGCACATCCGAAGATATGACTTCACTTCACTCTTCTATTCACAATCACAAGACAGCGCCTTTATGGGATGGTTTGAAACCTACTGACATGTCTACACTAGAGTTTTTAATATCAGAACCGGTGTGGGAAATAGCACCAAGATTCAAACAAGAGCTACATCGTGACATGATCACTAAATTCGGAGACGATATCCTCCGCTTAGGATTCCTTAAACAAGGTCATGTTGTGATCAACGAGCACTGGCAGAATGAAATTGGAGATTTATCTCTGGATAAGACTCGGTTTCCAAAACTGAATGTTACTGTAGATAAATTGCGTCGTCGTGGTTTTAGCATCGCCTTTACTGTTCAACCATTTATTAGTACAGAGAGTAAAAACTTTGCTGAATGCGTGCAAAAGAGACTGCTGATCAGTGAGAGGAATAGTGATAGACGTATTCCAGCATTAACTAGATTCAAATCTTTAGCAAGTGCTGGTATTCTTGATGTAACTAATAGCAATGCTGTGCCTTGGTTATTGGAAAAACTAAAAGTTGTAATGAAGGAGACCCTTATTAATTCATTCTTTTTAGATTTAGGTACAGCTCATGATATGCCCCATTATTACCGTTGTGAGAAATTATTAAGAAATCCTGACCAGTACATAAACATTTTTACAAAAACCTTTGACTCGAGTTTGTCAATTATTGGGGTGTCTTCAGCGATATCGTTACCTCGCCCTCCTATATTCGTTACTATGCCACCTCTGGACTCAAATTGGGAGGCTTTAAGATCTGTTATACCGACAATTTTAACATATGGAGTCAATGGTTTCCCATTTATAATGCCGGGTGCAATTGGAGGTGATATCTACTGGCCAGGTAGTGAGCAAAACTTGCCATCCTCTAAAAACTTGGAATCCACAAACAAAACTGAAGAAAATGGTATAGAGTTACCGGAAATAGAGTTGTATATGAGGTGGTTCCAAATGGCGACGTTCCTGCCGGTGATGAAGTTCACACACTTGCCAACTAAATATAATGATGAGAGAGTTCTGGAGATGGCCAAGAATTTAACTACAATTAGGCGAAATTTGGTGAGTATTTATATAATAATAGCATTTGCCCGCGGTTCTGCCAACGTGTTGGTCAGTTATCGCCGTTACTTTTTAAAGTAGTGTTACTGGCTGATAATGGTGCTAATTCTGAAAACTCTAAAACTCTCTAAACTAGACTAAAAATCACTAAATATTAGTTAAGTCCTGTCAAACAACGTTTCCTATTTTGTAAACGTAGTATTTGACAGGACTAAATAAATTTTTAGTGATTTTTAGTTTAGTTTAGAGAGTTTTCGAACAACAGATTTAGCACCAATGTAGCTTTCCATTGGTGAAAGAATTAAAAATATACGGTTTAGTGTAAAGCGTAACAAACAAATATAATAAACATTTATAATTTAAGTATGGACCATATTTGGTGGCAAACGCGTCGGAAGCCGAAGGCCTATTTATTAAGGCTTCAGACCTGAAAAATGATATTGTTTTTTTTATTTTGTTTTTCTTCAATTCTCGATACGACAAGTCAATATATTACAAGTCTTGTGGAATTTAACTTTTCAATTCTTTTTACAAAAAAAAATATTACTAATTTTTTTTATAAACTTCCTCGGAAAATCAAGTTCAGAAAAGAAAGATTTAAGATATTTCTCTGTTTACTTTATTTCTGAGTTTTTTAGACTTGTGTTGTTGTTAGAACGTATCAATTATTTTTAGCTTGGTTTTAAAAACTCTTCATGAATGAGTTAGAAATTAAATTCATAGTTAAATTTATAATTTGAAATGTGTTCAGGTAACTCCTTTTCTCTTGAAATACAAGCGAGAAGCATTAGAAGAAGGTCTACCCCTCATCAGACCGCTGTGGCTCATCAGCGGCAACGACGCAGCTCCCATACCTGTCCAGGACGAGTTCGCCATCGGCAGTGAAATTGTTGTCGCCCCTATCTTGAACAAGGGACAAACCAGTAGGGATGGTATGTACCTACTCCTATGGTTGTACAAAACCACTAATCATACGCTTTTCTGGTCTATCATCATTATGATGATTGGTAGCGATAATACCACACAGTCCAATTGGGGTTAGTATGGTGTGCTTATTTTTACTTTCTTTTTGTCTCCCGCTTTGCTAAGGAGGGAAACGGATTTATTATATTTCCAATTCCTCGAATTTACTTCTGGTTCATCATCAACAGCCTTTAATAGTCCACTGCTGGACCTAGGCCTCTCCTTAGGAAGGAGGTTTTAGCCTACTTCTGGTTAATTTCGTTAAGTAATCTTTATTGTGGATCATAGGCAAATACATTATACAGATCAGATGTCAGATGTGTATAGGAGTTCCAGTAGTGGGAGGGTTTTGCTAGTTGAGTTGCTAAAAAGGGGTTATTTTCATAACTTGTCAATCCTTTTCAAGTTAATCGGTAGTTCTTATGTAAAACATAGTGAATTTCAATTCATGTTAAACGTCATTTGCTGTGTTTTAAGATATTTATTGATTCCATTGATGTTGATTGTTTCCTCGGCTTTGGTTTCTTATTTGTTTCAAATTTTAATATGAAAAGAATGGGCAGTCATGGTCTCACATATACATAGATCCATTAATCGACTCATTCACATAATAAATTGTAAAACACACAAATTTTGTAAGGCTGTTGTAAGCATCTTGGTACTGACAATAAAGATTTCAAGATTATAATGGTAAAGAAGGGAAGACAATATAAGATATGGGGAATTGGTTTTACTGATAAGTTGGGCAATAACTTGAGCCAGTCAGGGTCACATTTAACTCGAACTGGCTATTATCGTAAATCGGAGGCAATGGCTGGCACAGAATGTCTAGAGGTTAGTGCTACTGACTGCTAATCTGGAGGTCGTAGGTTAGACTCTCAATCAGGGCAAATATTGTGTGATAAATACGATCATTCCTTCCGTGTCTGGGTGTAATTTATCTACAATATATATATTAACCCGTCTGTCCGTGTGGTGACGGATTAAGAATACAGAGTGTCACCACCCTTATTCAGCCCGTGGGTGTCGAAAGAGCCGACTAAGGGAGCAAACTAAGCAGGACAACAGCACTGCAAAGAGAAGGAAAACTTGAAACAAACCCTATACCAACCCGTCTGGCCAGCGTGGTATAGTAGGACAAAACCTCCTTTCTAAGGAGAGGCTTATGTCCAGCAGCAGCATTAAAGGCTGTTGATGTGATGATGATATATGTTCATATACTCAATATATTTATTGCATTCCACAATGTTTACTTAGATGGTACTCAAATATATGATCAGATCATCATGGACCGTGTCGGGCACAGCAATAGATGAGAGAGGGAGAGATAATACAAACTAATAACAATAATCTCTAACTTAATAATCAAAACTAATCAATAACTTAATAAATAAATAAGTCCGTGTGGTGACGGGTTAAGAATACGGAATGTCACCACCCCTATTCATCCCGTGGGTGTCGTAAGAGCCGACTAAGGGAGCAAACTAAGCAGGACAACAGCACTGCAAAGAGAAGGAAAACTTGAAACAAACCCTATACCAACCTGTCTGGCCAGCGTGGTATAGTAGGCCAAAACCTCCATGCTAAGGAGAGGCCTATGTCCAGCAGTGGACTGTTATAGGCTGGTGATGATGATGAACAATAATCATACTTCAGTTTTTTATGTACATGCTTAATTTATTGATTGCTCAGATATTCATTGACGCTGTAAAAGCATTTTTGTAGTAATAATTGTTTTAATTTATTTAAATATATATTTTATATGGTTTCATTTCTATTTATATACATATATGGCTTTCATGTGTCTTTATTTTCATTCTTTTGTATTTTGTTTCCAGTGTATCTACCAACAGGTGTGTGGAAGGATGGCATAGACAATTCACTCCGTAAAGGAAATCGCTGGATGCACGAATACAAGGTCCCTATTGACAAAGTCGCCTATTTTGTCCGCCAACCTGACAATATGAGATTCTAATATTATGGAAAAATGTGAAACTGAAAAGCTTTTTTATGTAAAAAAAGACATTTGTTAACCAAGGGCTGTTTATAAAAAAAAAAATCAAAATGATATAATAACATGAAAACTTCGTAACGTATTTTTTAGGTTTTTGTCTTAAGTTTAAAATCTCTCGTATTCTTTTCAATTCTAGTCTTAGTAAATAAAAAATCGTTTATTGAGCATTTTTACAATCTAACTATGTATAAAATACTATTATTATAAGAAAAAGTTTTTGATAAATATGTATTATTAAGCATAAAACTGTGACCATATAAAGAAACGTAACGTAACCTTGAAATCTTTTTCTACATATATAATTATTTTATACGTATGTATGTCAGTGAACTCTTTCTAAACCACTGGATCAATTTAGATGAAATTGTTTTGTGTGTGTTTTAGTAACTCCTACTGGCTGGTTTAGATTTAAAATTGTTAACTGTGTTCTAGGATTCTTTTTTATAGAAAAAATATATTATATTTAATAGATGGTTTAAATTTACGCAATTACAGTTTCTAAGCCACGCCTACTGTGGTACAGTCCGGTTCAGTTTTTGAGTTTGAGTTACGTTTCTTATTATGTGAAGTATTTTAAAAATATTGGTAAGTTAGCAATCTTCATGATTTATGTAAAATTTTATTTCTGGGAACTAAATATATTTATTGATAAGGTTTTAAATAAAAAGAGATACATTTGTTACATTAACAAAATTTTCAAAATCACCTTCAAGCAGATAATTAGAAATACTTTAATAAAAATAATAAAATACATTTGTTCCAAGATAATTAGTAAAATTTAGGAATATAATATATGGTAATATGAATTATCACAAGCGGATCCAGCCTTTGACTCTTTGGGATGAGGGAAGGGTTCGGGGGAGGGGTTCATTTTGCGTAATCAGAACTATTCAATACTATTTTACACCTTAATAGGATGTGTATAAAGATCCAATTTAATCATAAAGGCGTATTAAATATTATTATTCCTAATCAAATAGTAAACTATTTAAAACAATACTAGTTATAATAATAAATACTTATAGAAATGGTGGATCCTCTAAAAGTCTCTTAGTCTGTAACCCAGGGCTCCGTGGTTGTAAGGGGCCCCAACCAACAACGGACAGTAATATAAAAGTAAGTATTAATAATTGGGGCCCCAAAGTGAGTTTTTAGTTCATATTTAGCTCAACAATGGTAACAAAAGGTTGAACAGAGGTAGGCCAATTAGCAGATTTTAGCGTGTCAATTATAAAACGAGTGTAATTTATATACCTCTTCTTATTTAATATTTATACTTAAGTAATACATACCAAGTTGTTAACTGTTGTTGTGGAACTGCCATCAACACGACCTTCAAATACGAGTAAGCTTATTAGATATATGTATTGGCGACCGTATGGCGTAGTGGTTTGTATAACGGACTGCTATTCCAAAGGTCGCGGATTCGATTCGATTCCCGCTTAAGTCAAACATTTGTGTACATGAACATTTAATGTTTGATTTGGTCTGGGTGTTTCTTTGTATAATATGTATGTATTTACAAAAACAAAGTATATATGTATTTATATCAGTTGTCTAGTACCCATAATACAAGCTCTGCTTAGTTTGGGACTAGATGGCGTTGTGTGAATGTTTTAGAATATTATTATATTGTAATGTTAAATCTAAGTCTATAATTAAGTAATACATGTTTTCGTTTCCAAAGAAACTGTATTAGGTGTTAATATTTTAAAGTGCCTTAGTACTGTTTAATATTTTTTAAATGAATGAAACTATAATCATTTTTATTAATGTATTTACCAGAATACACTAGGTGTCAAAGCATTCCTATATAATTACTCTGGACTAGCTGACCCACGCAACTAAGCAGGAGCCTCTTTCCACTACCCAGTGGAAAGAGAGGCCTGCACGTGCCCAGGGCCCCTCGGTCGATAGGAGCCCGATTCCTGCCAGATGACCAATCGAAAATCAATATTTATCAACGAAAAACATGATTATTTCGAAAAATCCATTTCTAATGACCGACTACAATACTTTTTTGTCTATTCTAACAAAATAATGCTCATCTAAGTTTGTAGGGGCCCCATTATGCTAATTTGCCCAGGGCCTCCAATAGATTGGAGACGGCCCTGCAACTTGGTCTGCCTCTCTTGTCGTAGAATAGTGTCGGATTTGACATGTATTGAACTTTAAAGGGCAGCCATTTTAAATAGTTATGTTTTTTTTGACATAACTTTTTTAATTCTAAATTTGTAATTGTGAAAATAGGCATACAAGTGAAAAACAGGGTTTGTTTTGGAATGCAAAAAAAATTACAACTAATAATTACACAATTTTCTAGAAAAATCATATGCTTCATTTTACTTTGAGCGCCTATCAAATCCGTCAGTTTACAGACTGAATAGTTTAAAATCTAAAATACATATAATTTTTTCTTGAATGTAGTAATAATCTTTAGACAATATAGTATCCAATTATGATAAAAATTAAATTTCGTATTTAAAAAAAAACCAGCATTCTTCTACGATCATGACGAAAATTCCCCGTTTTTGCAACATTTTTAATTGATGCTCCACTCCTACTGGTTGTGCCGTTTTATTATATAGCCTTCCGCGATAAATGGACTATCCAACACTAAAATAATTTTTCAATTCGAACCAGTGGTTCCTGAGATTAGCGCTTTCAACCAAAGAAACAAACTAATTCTTCAGCTTAATAATATTAGCTCAGATCAAATAAAAAAGTTAAGATGGAACTTTGCGACGAACGAATTGACGCCGGTTTTATAATTTTTGCCATCATAATTTTATTTTATTGAAAAACTAGTTTTTACTCTTACTTATCTGAGAAATGCCATTCTATACCTCTATCTATCTCTTGTAGTTTGATTATTACACACTTTTACAAGACGATTCGGCGTTTTACTTTTAAAAATATTTTTGATGAGGATTTGGCTAGCGATGGAATAAAATCACAAACGCACGAAAGGTCTAAATCTAAAAAAAGCTTGTAATCTTTGATAAAAAGAATTTTGATTGACTTTTAATGCGATTTATCTTGGTTTATAACGAAATCACAATCACATGTGAAATCATCATCATCATCATCATCAGCCTATCGCAGTCCACTGCTGGACATAGGCCTCTCCCATTGCACGCCACTCAGATCACACATGTGAAATGGCTGTGACTAAAACAAATAATTTCATCAAATGAATATGATTCAAAAGTAGCAATAATTTCCATGTCTAGTTTTGATTGATAAGGCGCCGCGTAATTGTTTATGTATATGCCAAGGCGTAGTGGCCTCACATCTTTGTTCACAGAGTACCATATTATCTAACTTTTTTGTTTGATCTGAGAGTAAACTTACAGCAGGATTAATAATTTAGGTGTGTTTAAAAATATATAATTACTAAACACGCTTTGCTGATTAATAAAGTTTTCGCATTTTTTTAGCATCTGAAGAAAGTTTTTCTAACTAAAAACTTCTTTCAATGTTTTAAAAAATAAATGTCAAACTCCATTTTGATTTTAACCTTTAAAGAAAGCTATTTAAAAACAGAATGAATCACAGAATGTGTGTTTATTCCTCTGAGATACCATTGTCTTTGGCATATGACGTAAGGGTTGTGATTACTTCGAACATTCCAGAAGTTTGTAGTTTATTTTAAAAATACTTCTAGTTAGTGTGCTATGAAGTGCAATTTACATACTTTCCATTTCTCTAATTAAGTAATTATCATAATTATTATAATTATCATAATGCCATTCGAGAAATAGTTTGTATGTTTTGTTAAATTCCAAAGTTATTAAGTAAGATAGAATCTAGAGTGTGCATTACTTAGTAAATATTTAATTTGAGATAACGCCATCTATCGTACATTGAAACGAAACTACACTTTTATTGTAAAACTGTGCTAGTATTAAAAAAAAATGTACATATGTTTTAAAATATGTATTTTAAATCTTAATAAACTGTATATTTGTGAAATGCCTCCGTTGTTTTTATTAAATTTCTACCTTTTAGTAAAACAAAACAACAAAGACCAATACCATTTTTTTTACTCTTTAATTTATTTTCTGTATTACCCACAATATTGCTTTTTTTAAAATTTTTGCTTCTTCAAATATATCTGAGGTGAGGGATGTTTGTTGATGTTTAAGAAATGTTACAATCTAACAATTATAAATAAAAATTGACATTTAAATAAAAAATAAATAAACCTTACAAGAATATATAAGTATTTTACAAGTAAAATCATTACCATTATAAGTGCTGTTTAATACACATTTACATGTGCAGAAAACTAGATTTTGATGAAAATATTGAAACCACAAATATGTTATTCTAATTTACAAATAACATAAAAAAATTGTTGAAGAATGAACAATCGAGGGTAGATAAAAAATCTTGGAATTTTAAGATATTTAGAATTTGGTGGTAGCATTTGGTTTCATTTTTTTATTTGTTTGATTCGTAACCCGTAAACAAAATTATGATTGTCTTGAATATACATATAAGAATGTTTTATTCGGTCCGTTAATAACTAACTGACGATATAGAAATAAAACATTGGCAAGACATTGGAGAACAGTTAATACCAGAAAAAGGTTTTCAAAAAGGACCACTGTAAGTAGATTTTAATTTATTTACAATTCTGCCCATTACAATTTAGTTATAAGTTTAACCTGTACCACGGGATGAATAGGGGTGGTGACACTCTGTATACTTTATCCGTCACCACCATCACCGACCATTACAACGGCTAGTATTAAATAAAAAGAAAAAAATATTCAAACTGTCAAAATATTATATTAAAAATAATGTGTAATGTATTCTATCTCATTCTCTCGCCGACTTAATCCTATACATTGTCGTTTCATCGAGTTTCAAATCACAACGATTTTGAATTGCACACACACACACACGGCACGACACATATAATTAAAAATCATTGGTCAAATTAACACTGATGT